CTTGGTTTCAAGCCATGGAGTGGCTTCTGAAAAAAAAATGCTTGACACACCGGAGCGACGAGGGGGCTGACTCAGGTGCGCTGCTTTCCTCTGAGACGGGAGGAAGGCACCAACATCTGGCCACGGACATCGCTTGTTGTTTTACGCGGTACATGTTTATCTTCCGAATTTAGCCTGTCTAGCGCTCAATGCTCTACTACGGTGGACAATCTTTTGCGATTTTGGCCCGAAATAGGAAGCTGAACGACCTCATGATCGACATCAGTATTTGCTACATATGCTATGCGCTGGGAGACTGCTATGCGATAAACTCTTCACGCCTACGAGGGATGCCCGAAACCACCAAAGACACGAATTTCGAAATTTCAATATGTTGTGATTCCCGCACACCTGAGTGCAATTCACTGGGGATCATAATCACAATAATGGATTATATGCAGGTGCAACCTTGCGTTACGCCATACTACTACGAACCGCTCTGCGGCAAAGACTATTGATCGGTAGCGGAGAATATTTACATGACAACTGCGGCATCATTTTTACGAGACTGGCACGAAAGAAGCATGACAACCGCAGAATACCATTCCGAGACAGTTGGTGTTTAGGCTGACGCACCAAAACAGCCGGACGGAACTTCGGGCGGCGCTCTGTGCATCGCGCAGGCATACTCCGCGCTCAAGGACAAATTTCGGCTAACGGCAGTGGTTATGTCGAATGACGAAGTCGTCATCATGTGACCTCCACCGACCGCGTTATCACGCTACCGTGTAATTGTGGTGTAGCTTTGCTGTCTATGGTATTGTGCTCGCGTAGTGCACCTGCGTTGGCCGTGTTATCGTGTTCGACAATGGTATCGTGCTCCGTGGTGTGCGATCGTGATCTCCCGAAGCACTTCCATGGCTGATTCGCCGCCCGTGCAATCGTGCTATCTCACTCCGTGACCCGGTGAGCCCAGGTTCTACACTGGAATCGTGCTCTGTGGCTCGGTGATCCTCTGTCTATAACTTCTGTGGCTGCGTTTTCTTCAATGATTTAGTGGCTGGGCCATCAGGGGGCACCGAAGAACACGAACCCAGGTAAGAGCACGAAAAACGGAAGAATATTAAACTAGACAATGTTCACGCTGGGGTGGAAGCGGAAGCACGGATGGACACGAAACCAACAAAAGCCATGAGCTGTTCAGAAACAGACGAACCACGGGAAAGCACGCAGCCATAAAAATTGGAAGGACAAGAACATGACGGGAGTGTACGCACCACGGAATGAAACTAAAGGATTGATACGAAAAAGCAGGGGCTACGGAGGAGCACAGATGTTCGAGGCCATGGTAGAACACGTACCGGTGAGAGTGCACAAAATTAATTCTCCAGCAACACCACGGTTTAACATGGAGCACAGTCAACCGACCAAACCTGAGCCCGCGGGGGACCAGAAACGGAAATCATCAATCTTTGAGGCACGATTCCTGGATAGAAAAGGAGCTCACCGACCACCGAAGCGCGACACCACGGAAGCTAGTGAGAGCACAGACATAGACCAGCCGCGACATCAGCGATAGCACGATAGCATGGAGCGTCGACTCGATCACTCAGTGCGCATGATGTACGATATGTAACGTGTTGGAAAGTGCGCCAGGTATCTTATTTCGCACATTACACACACGAATACAAACCGATTATCACAGCTAAGGGAAGACTTTTTTTCTCGCGGTGGCGGAGTGGTGTGTGTTGGTGTGACGACGTCACTATAGTCACATTTGAAACGTTTCTAGTAATTAATGTTAGTAAAAACCTATGTACTTTATCTAACGCTGATATTTGTAGTTCGAAGAACTATCATGTGCCGTATTGGTTTTTCTCTGTAATCGAACAACATTGCTGGGTGATTTAAGTTTCACCCCAAAAGTTTTTTTTTTCACAATCGAGCAACCTGTGATTTGTGTAAAGTGCACACACCATTTCAGAAGCTGCTTTTCGCTCTCTCGGAAATTGGAGCCTCGCTTTCTCCGTCGAAGCGTGGTGGCTGTTGCTTATATTTGGGTTAATGCGAAGTGATGGCTAGTTAGGCTTCCAGTTTTGGAATTGACGACTACTGCATCGACGAATCGATCGCGTTGGCGGTCCCTGGCAGGTGGAACCCCGCTAGCGTAATGTCGCTAAAATGTTGGAGTCGTTCTTCATCTTGTAGTGCGTGTATAGGCGACTTGGACCATGCCGCAAGTTTTGCTGTTATTGGTGTCATCGCTATCAATCTATGACGCGTGGTCACTCGCGAGACCAGCAAGTACGTTTGCATGGCTTATTAATTACCCCCTGAGTGGATTTCCAGTCCATCACGACCATGGCCTCGAACGTTTCTCCTTGTCCCTTGTATACCGTTGAACCGACTGCACAAACGAACGGAAGTTGCTGCGATCGCGCCGTGATGGATCGGGACTGGCCGTTTGGCGCTTGCGCGAGTTTAATGGTCGTCTTGGAATGCGCCTCGGTTGTAAAGAACACAGGAAGCAATTCGGGGTCGATGCTTGGCCTGATTGGTGTTGCCTGTGGCCTCGGGACGCGGATCATGGCGTAGTCAGGTGACTGGCTTGGCAGCTGTACGATAGTGGTAGTTGCACCGTCCCGAACGGGTTGAAACTGGACCCCGGTGCGAAAATGAACGTACTCGAGCCTCCCGAGTGTGCCGTTCGTGATGCCCTTGGCGGTGGCGACGTTCTGAGTGACTTGAATCGGCATGCCGTCTAATAGATCAAGGTACGGTGGCCTCCTGCTAAAGCAATTGTCTGGCAGGCTGAAGGGTGGAAATTTTGAGTCGAGTACTTTATATTTTGAATCGGATACTTGCGAAATTATATGCTCGATCGGATACTTATGCGTTGGTTACCCTGGTTACCAGTAACCTGCTCAATCGGCAAAAGTGACCAACATAGTTCGAAAAAGAGGGTAGTATATTCGTTTTCAATCGGCTAGTTCTGAATGTTGGGGTTGGTAACCTCCTGGTTACTAGTAACCTGCTGAACCTGCAAAAGTGGCCGATCCAAAACAAAAAAACCGTCAGTAAAATCATTCTGAAGCGGTTAGCTGTGCATTTTTGAGCGGGCACTTGTGTATTCTGATCTGGGTTCCTCATGTAGTGACGACTAACCTGTTGAACCAGCAAAAAGTTCTGAATGTTGGGGTTGGTAACCTCCTGGTTACTAGTAACCTGCTGAACCTGCAAAAGTGGCCGATCCAAAAAAAAAACCGTCAGTAAAATCATTCTGAAGCGGTTAGTTGTGCATTTTTGAGCGGGCACTTGTGTATTCTGATCTGGGTTCCTCATGTAGTGACGACTAACCTGTTGAACCAGCAAAACGACCGATTATAAAAGCAAATGCAGTCAGTAAAATTATTTTCAACCTACCAGTTGTGCAAGTTTAGTCGGTTTACCTTCGGTATCGTGCGGGACCCCTCCTGAACTGTCGGATCTGCACCACCGGCGAACATTAATGCAAACAAGGCAGAAAAAACATTTCTAAGCTCTCAGTTGCGCAAGTTTGTATACCTTCGTCGGACCGCTAGACGATCTGAAATTTGTTGAACGTGTAAAAATAACGTGGCCGATCAGAACGTCAGATTAAGTCAATACCAAGAAAGTAGAGTAAATCACCACGAACCTTTAAATGTGGCGGCTGGTAGCCATGGTAATGTCCGTCACGAGCTCATCCACTTCAACGTCATGACTATCAGCATCGGTAAACGTGATCGTCCAAGTAACTGGCTTATTGTCAGCCTGAACGGAGGTCACTACACCACTGAAGCAGCTGATCTGGAACTCCTTTGGTGATTCAGGTAACGACGTTTTAAAGCGATGCAAGGCTTTGTATCCGATAGCCTCGCTTGGGTATTTTTTCAGATGTCGTTTAAGCCGAGCCGTCGGTCCAGTCGAAAGTGTGTCGTCACCTTCAGCAGCTTCGAGACTATCTCGAACAAGACAGCTGAGCTCCTTGCGTGGCCGTCCAGGGCGACGGCGGTGGGGGATTCCAGCTTGAATTTCGTCAATATTTAGGTGTTGATTGATAGCCGCTGCTGCCAGTACATGCGAGCACACCCAACCCGACATGACGTAAGCCTTGCACTCACAGGAATATTTTTTACGGAAGAGTTGAGCCGTGTCGCTGTTCACCTTTGGCAAAGCTCGCAGCTTTTCAAACTTGATCTTGGCGCTTACACGGACACGATATAGTGAATAGTCTTGTGCCTTGACGTACCTTCAAGCAAAATCTCAGTTTGTAAAAGTTTCCGTACTAGAAGTAGAACTTAAAAGCTTGAGTACCTTTTCTCAGAGCTTTGGTTACACGCTGATCAAAATGATCCTTTCGGTTGATGTAGAAAGTCGGGAGACATTGTGTTTGCACAACGTATAACTTCGTGGTATCCAGTGTAATTGCTTTGGCCTTCGTAAGCTGTGAGTGAAGCAAAGGTGCTTCAGCAAAAGGCCGTATTTCCTCTGGTGCCCTGTGCGCACAGCCGAAATGGAGAATTTGGCCCATCGAGAACTCCAAGAAGTAGACCATAGCGGCACGAAGGTAAAGGTCCATATGAGCCTTTATACTCTTGTGAAATGACTCAATTCCCTGTTGCTGTGGCAGGGATCCAGGTAGTGTCGAAGCTCCAACGAACCAGGAATCAAATGGAGCCGTCAGATAGGTGTCTGTGAACCAATCGGCATACCGGGCTTCTCCTTTGTTGCGCCATTTTGTCATCAGCTTTGCCGAAAGAGCTTTAAAGTGCTTGTAACTTGTGCATTTGTGGAGGCTGTTGATGTCTGTTTTCACAACAGACACAAAAAATTCTTTATCTGATAGCATGCTCTTCTTTTCGGTGGCGAGGCACTTCCGGCTTACATGAGGCCAACACGTGACAAAGACCATCTCGGGCCATGCTTTTCCAAGAGCTGCTGCAATGCAGACAGCATGGTCTGCGGCCCCCACGGTCGGCTTTAACCCCATACCCAGGCAGTTATAGACGCAGCGATTCACAGACTCGAATAACGCTTCAAACGCCAGCTCGCACTCCGTACGAGCAAATCCGAACGCACAGGGGTAAAATCGCTGGTGGAACTGGCGTTCCTTTTCATCGTAAATCACACCAACTACACCGAGATTAATCAAAGTCCAACCAGCGTCTGTTAACCGATAAGTGCCGTCGCAAGAGATCGAAACTGGGTCTCCGTAAGCAGCAGCCGTAAGAAAATTACGCAAAATCTTCTTGCAGCTCAGGACCATACCAAAAGAAGCCTCTTTTGTTTTGTTCACCTCCGTGGACTCAAAAACCTGAAGTACCACAAGTTCTCGTTCGCCAACAGCGTCAAATTCGTCTTTTGTCGTGCACAATCGTGACGCTGCCCATTCGAACAGCTCGGTGTGTGTGCCCAGTTGTTTCCATTTGCCCGTGAGCTGCTTTTTTTTCATCCGGCTTTACGATTGCGGACTTGGCCGATATCAGGCAGCCGTTTTTCCTTTTCACTGTCATCTCCATAAATGCGGGTCAACTGGTCAAGAGCGCCAAGTGGCGTCTGTCCACTTGCAAACATCAACGCAAGCTCTTTATCGAAGCACTTGTGAATACCCCTCGAGGCTTGAACTTCTTCTGCTCCTCCGTCGTGATCACCACAAAGTTCACACACGAACTCCATCTGATGCGGGCGAATGCGAACGAAAGCATTGCAATTCTCGTGGCTTTTACATCTGTAGGTTTTGGAATCACCATACATTGTCCGAGAATGACCAGCAATGACAAAATTGAACTCCAAATTCTTGCGAAATGAGTTGGCTTCATCGAAAGTACAGCACGTCTTCAGCAGTGACCACTTTCGGTTGGGAATGCCACGGCGAGACCGCTTTGGACGCTCTGCGTGACTATTGCCGATATCCTGAGCTGTGTCGTCTTCACGTGCAGTCTGCAGATCGTCGCTGTCGTGGTAGGTCTGAGCAAGAGCAAGACCAGTCAGATCCTGTTGCCTTTCTCCGAGCTGGCATTCTGTGAGGTGCGCGACTGGTGATGCTACTGCCGCTGGGGCGCTCGAGTCGTCGCTGCTTGAAGCGTCTTCGCCTCCTTCGTGCATTACATTGTCGCTAGCAGCAGCCAGCCGAGCGCGCTTTCTCGTCTGCACCATTGTGGTTGTACCGGCGATTTGTAGACTGAAAGGCAACACATAAGAAAGGAGGAATGACATAATCATTCAAACCAACGCAAATGGTAACAACAGGTGGGGCGACATCAATATAATGCGGGCAAGAGTGATGGTCGTTGAAGTGCGACATGAACAGCAAGTGGTCCTCAAGTCCAGGAGACGGTCAACTTATCGTCGTACAACTTCATACCGGCGAACATTAACTTGTGCCATCCACTCCTTCTTCTATTTACCGACGTACGCAAACCTACCTCCAGCTCTGTGCACGTAAACCAAGGTAGTCTTCTCCACTTGAAACTGTTACCAAACTCGCGCTACGCGCGGACCCAAAAACCCTTAGTTGCTCGCTGAGCTCGCTTCGACAAAACCCTAAGCCCGCTCCGGCTTCGCCTTCGCTTGTCCACTTGTACAACTGGGTTTAACCCCGCGTGCTACGCACACGGATCTTAATCGCCAGCAGGATGTTCATGTCGTGTAAACCAAGGTAGTCTTCTCCACTTGAAACTGTCACCAAACTCGCGCTACGCGCGGACCCAAAAACCCTTAGTTGCTCGCTGAGCTCGCTTCGACAAAACCCTAAGCCCGCTCCGGCTTCGCCTTCGCTTGTCCACTTGTACAACTGGGTTTAACCCCGCGTGCTACGCACACGGATCTTAAACGCCAGCAGGATGTTCATGTCGTGTAAACCAAGGTAGTCTTCTCCACTTGAAACTGTCACCAAACTCGCGCTACGCGCGGACCCAAAAACCCTTAGTTGCTCGCTGAGCTCGCTTCGACAAAACCCTAAGCCCGCTCCGGCTTCGCCTTCGCTTGTCCACTTGTACAACTGGGTTTAACCCCGCGTGCTACGCACACGGATCTTAAACGCCAGCAGGATGTTCATGTCGTGGCCTGCTACGGCTTCGCCTTCGCTCGTAATTCGCTGCTCGCGGTGGTCTTCTTCACATGAAGCTGTCACCATACTCGCGCTTCGTATCCTAGGTTACACGTGAGGGGTACATGGATATCTCTAGAATTACAAAAATATGTAAATATATATCACATATTGCAAACATAGCCATAACTGACAAGTAAAGATTCAAAAGTACCCGATTGGTTACTTATTGTTTTCAGTGTCCGATTCAAAAGACAAAAGTACCCTTGTCAAAATAAAGTCTCCACGCTGAACACGTATCGAAGGTCGCTCTAGCTCAAGTAGTTGAGCGCATCTTTAAAGCTCGCGACTACACGGACGGGGCAGACGTTGCTTTGCAGCATCCATCTGAAGAAAGTCTCCAACCAGCACAACATGAATACTGCCAAATGGGACATTTGCGACCTGCATGTAGCGGCACAGGAGTTTTTCGAGTTTCAGCCATTCCGACTTGCTCATCATGGAGACATCGTCGATGACGAAAATATCAAGTGGTGCAATTCGTTTTTCCTTGACAGCATGCTGCGGTCGAATCAAGAAGTTCCCGAGCGTACGACCACTGATGAGTGTGGCCGCTTTTCCAGTCAATGCCGTCCTCTCAATGCAATTACTGCGGTGCCAGCTCGAGCGGATCGCATGCACGGCGTCGATCACGCGGTTTTTGCCGGTGCCACCTGCACCGCCGAGGAACATATGCTGCTGATCATCTAGTAGCCTGGATTCGAAGTCAGTGGCTCGGTATCCTGCCAACACATGAGTGTTGGCGAGTTCTTGCTGTTTGAAACGATGAAGGAGATCCGTTGCTATGATCGTGAAGGCGACGTCCTGGCGTCGATTGAGCGTGATTGCTCTGGAGACATTGCCGATGGTTGAGTATGGGCATAGTGGTGGCCGGTCATGCTGCTGGAGCGAAGGCAACCACTCACTATCCGAGTCCAGTGCGCGTTGTATGAGCTCAATCACATCGGCTGGACGCTCGTTAGCCGGCTGCTCGGTCGTTGAAGATTCCTCATCATTAGTTGCAAGTTCTTTCGCCCATTGCTGTAGCTCGTCGACTGGGATGTCCACGCTTTGTTCATGGTTCAATTGAATCGAGGTTTTGACTGTATTATGCGCACTCGCAGCCAATAGCTCTGGGAACATGGTACTGGAGGCAGTTGAGCCAGCCGTTGAGGTTGGGAAGACTGGAAACTCGACTCATTTGTATTGCTAGCAGAGTCGTCGTCAAATCGGCCAACAAAACCATCGACTCTAGTCGTTGCTGAAGGCAAGTCCTCACATGCAATGCTATCAAGATTTGCTTCGACATCATTGCGGGTACCGGTGAGCTCGTCACTGTCAACTTCATGATCTTGATGACCATGATTGCATTCGCTGTCTTCTTTTGCTTGCAAAGTTGCGCGATAGTAGTCGTCCATGTTTGCCATGATTTCGCAGACAAAGCTCGTTCGAGTGGGCATCATTGTACATACGCGCTGATCCATGCTGTCTCGTTGGTCGAGTCACCAACCAAATCGGAATGTTGCGAAACAGTTCGAATAGCACAAGCGCGCATTGGCTGCGCTTGGCGACAAGCTCGCGAGAAGTTTCGAAATCCAAGTACGGCTGCGCACACCGGTGACTATTGGAACGACCTCTGCTTTATGGCGTCCGACGAAAAATGAACTATGTAGTGGGTGGCTAATCAAGAAACGCTCGCGTGCTTGTGCTGTCCTCACTTGCTCTCGCCGGAAGTACAACTCGTACAGACAGAGCGAGCCAAGCTCCGAAGGGCGAAATATAAAGTCGTCTAGGAAAGAAGCTGCTCGAAAATTAACCCTAGCGCTGTGTTCTCAACTAAATCACATGAGTGCGTGCCCTGATTAATAAACTCCCTCAGCACTTCTTTCAGAGGAAGCAAAGCGCATGGAACACTCATGCAGGCGCACGACCCACACAGCAGATTCAGCACAGCAAGCGGACCAGCGATTTCGCGGCGATTGGTTATCGCGAAGACCAAAGACGCAACGCGTCTGCGCCTCATATTAAAGCAATCGGCTTCATTGTTGTCGTCTTAGGTCTCTCGAAATTGTCGTTGTTTAAATGCCGCCAAGGCAACGGCAGTGATTGAATCGACCGTAGACTACATCTTGGCGACGTACTTAGTATCGTAGAAGATGCGAATCAGCTCTTCAAGTCCGCCGATCAACACTTTAACGTCGTGATTAGACTTGAAAGCTAGCATCATTATGGCACTGAAGCCATTCACGTACTCAAACGGTATTCGTCGAGCAATCTAGACGCCAGAGCTAGTACAACACGTCTGCTCAATAGGTTCTCGCGGGAATCCATACCGACATTGTCCGCCTGACTTGATTTAAACCAGCTGTCAACTCGAGACCACCAATGAAGATTAAGCAAGAGGACGAGGATAGATATCGCAAACGCGACAGTATTTGACGCCCACCGCTCATTGTAGACCGATGGAGGGAACACCTCTACAGCACGAGCTACTTTGACATTACGAAACGCATCGTCTTGGCGCTGCTCATGTCGATTTGGAGTCGCATTCAATGCTCGCAAGCGAGCAATCATCAGTGATGATTGCTCGGTGATGATTCATCACCATCGTTCATTGCCGACATGATCATGTCTCGACAAAAGACCGCGGCGTAAACACTTCCACGGCATTGGACTTCCGTTTGTATGGCTAATTCAAGCTCTTCTGATGTGTATTCTCGCATGGTTGTCGGCCAGTTCGATGGTCGATGTTGCAGGAGAACACGTCGCATCACGTGCTGAGAGCGCGCCGTTGTGGCACATTGCGGGCATTGCACAAACAGCGGCTCTGCCTGAGCACTACCTCGGCCCGTGTTGGATCTACGAGATCTGCCGATACCACCTGAGGCGTATGAGAGTCTCATTCGCCTCAAGGTGGTATCGGCAGATCTCGTAGATCCGCGAGCGAATGACCGCAAAACCAAGCAAGCTTGACGCTGCTACGTCTAGCGGCAAATGAAGTCCAAACGATGCTGTCTCGGTATAGGCAGCCACGTCGCTATAGTACTCGTCGCCGTAGGTGGGGGGGGGGCACGTTGACTAGCCATACGAGGAAATGGGCGTGCCGCGTGCCGCCACCTTGCGTCTCAACCATACCAAAGTAGGCCTCGACGTCACTAAAGAGTCCGTCAAATGCTTGGCTCTTCATCGGCTTGGGAGCCACACCGAGTACATGTTCGATAAAGGCATCCACGTCGTGTATGAAGAGGCGAGCGGAAACCACGTCATTGCGCAAACCTGCGCTGTGTAGCGCAGATTGCATGTGCAGGCCAGCCACGTTTGCGTCGAAGAGCACATCAACGGACGTGATGCCCGTATATTGGGCCACGACGAGCGATTTGCCAACGTTTGGTGTCAAGGCAGCGAATAGCGCTGGTTGACCGTACCGCGCCTGGTAGGAAAATGCGCGACGACGGCACTGCGCTCGCTTGGCGTCGCTTCCCCAGATTACACCACCACTGAGCTCGACTGTCTTGAGAAACTTGATAGCGGAAGAGGAGTTGTCGTCATTCGATGCGGTTCGACCTTGGCGGCGCAGCTCTTTTTGCTGGAGCGCTTCCATTAACGAGCCTTCGGTAATAGCACTGTAGGGTTCAAACAAGGCAGGATTGCGCTTGCAATTTAGTGCGACTTGTAGATACACGTTTTTGGACGGAGAGAAAATCCAAACACGCCAGCATGAAAAGCTTGTCT